ATGAGAAGGGTGTCGGCCAAAGTGCCAGAACAAAAGTTGCTACTCTCGACCAGGTCTACAAAAGCCGCACTAGCCGTTTTTTTAATTTTCAAAAACTAAAAATCGATACACCCTAATGTGCAGTATTGTGTCACATTGGGAACTTCGAAAGAAGTGTTTTGTACGTATTTTTCACAAAGGAAAGAGATTTGAATAATATTGTTTTACGAAACGAAAATTATTAAAGAATTATTTTTGGCTTTCGTATTTATAATAGACACCAGGTGGACCCACTTTCTGTGTGTGTTCCAAAAATTGAAGTTTAATATATAGTTTCAGGCGATATAATGATGGTGTTTATAGAGATTTCTCGATATTTATTCTATTTTATTTTATTCCAACACTTTATTGATAAATATTAATGAGATCCTTTTGGAAAAATTGACAAAATTCTTTAGAAAAATTTAGTTTTTCATATTTTTTCCAGGATTTCTATAGAAAATAATGGTTTTAAGTATAAAAACGTTTTGACAATTGGGGTAAAGATTAATCGATTGCACTCCCACGGTCAATATATTTGTAGGGTGAAATTGAATCGATTATTTGCTCTAACTCGATGTTTTTATACCCCCAGTGGTGACGATAAACGAGGATTTTGTGTTGAATGTACGCATATCGAACGGAAAGGCGTATTGTTATCGCTGCACGGAGAAATTGGGCCACTATGGACCCAATAATATGATAACATTCAACGATGTGCGTAACGTGCTGTTTTACCCCGTCCAATTTGCAAATGCAGGGGATGTATTGGCCAACGCATGGCGTGATTTATATTTGCACGAGTATAAGTCAGTTGAAGAGATGAATTTGTTAGCCGTAACAGACGGCGAAGAGAAATGTGAGGAGAGTAATGAAGCTGAAGTTGGTCCAGCATGCGAAGAGGGACAGACCACGATGGAATTCGATGCACCACTTGATCTGAGCGTCGGAAAGGAAGTCGGGAACGAAGAGATGATTGATTTTGTGCAAAAATGGGTCGTCGAGGTTAACAACTCAGTATTTGGGCAAACCGTATCCCCAGGTGTAACTGGGAAGATTAATGAAGAGGCAGGTACTTCGACTGAAGTTGCTATTGGAAGAGGAGGTACTCCCGAAGATTCTTTGTGTCAGGAAATAGATGAAATTTTTAATGATTGCTCAACATTGCTGCCAATATTAGACGATTCAGTTCCCATTTTGACTCTAACCCAATATTGGACTTCTGATAACTTCTCGAATCGAGCATTAAGTCCCCCAAGTTACAGTCCAAGCACTCCAGGATATATCAGATGCCCGACTCCATGGCTTCCAGGAGAAACGGATCCTCAAAACTATCCGACAAATTCCGAAACTTCTCCGGATTCCAACCAGGCTGTAAAGGGGTCTGATAATGAGGGGGATCTACTGAACCCAATGAACGAGATTGAAACGGTTGATCTAGAGGACTATGAGGAGGAAACTGATTCCGTCATTATCATTTATGATAGTGACGTTGCCACATCCAAGGCGGCATCTGTCTGTTCTCAAAATTCTCAGGAAAATGAGAAGTCGGAATTGGCAAACGGGGCCCAATTGAATCGTGTTCTGGACACCCTAGGGAATACTTTCTCTGATAATAGTCTCATAATTTCTACCATCCCCAAAGGCTATACTAGAGAAATTCCAAGTATTGTGACGAAAGAATCGCAACAAGTTTATGAGGCATTTGGCATGTATTTGATTCCTGAGTATCAATTCGAAGATGAGTATGCCACCATGGGTATCTCACCCGTATTGGCTGCTAAGCGTCGTTTGAATTTTAATAATATTTTTATTCATTAATCGAAACAGATTTGTCATTTTTCTTCTCTTTATTTAAGAAAAAATACTCATGTTCTTTTTATGGTGAATGGTTTTAATAAAGAAAATTTTGTCAAAAGAATCTCGTATGTGTGTATTTTTTTTCTTTTTTTTTGAATTTTCTGTAGGTTTTTCTTTTAGCGATATGTTAGGTTATACCTTAAGGTACGTTGTCCGTAGAATCATAATGATAGGCTATTTCGCCGTAGATAGTTCATGTAGTAGAGTAATGTACTCGACCTGACATGGAGCAAGGGTATGGCATGCTATGTAAAATGATGGCGAACTAAAACCTTTCAAATTTGTCGGAATAAACCTTATAATTCTATGAACAAAATTGCACAAATATGAGATAGTCAATACGAAATTTGTATTTCAGATTCTATCCGATAGATGGCGTTACGGTTTGGCACGTCGCCATGTCTCTCATATACGTGCCATTCACTTGACATGGAGTCTTCGTATAGATTTGAAGAATTTTTCGATTGGAGACAGGAAGTGTTCCAAGAAAGGGCTATACGAATTAGAAGACTCCATGGGCCGAAATCGAAATTTCTATATAAGGCTTGAATAGCCAAATTTTGTTTTTCCTTGTGATTCTCAATTTCGTCATCAGTTATAATTACTAAGTTTGATTTAAAATAACGTAGTTATTCGCCATAATGGCTTTTAACCTGAAATTAAACCAAAGTAACTATGAGAGCTTATAATTTATTACTATCCTTTAAATATAACTAAAATATTATTTCTCATAGTACGTGTTCTTGTTTTAAATGAGGGGATTCTGTAATTCCCTGCTGATAATAATTAATATTGGGACTAAAACTTAATAACGGGATTTTTTAAAATGAAAAATGAAGGTTTATTTAAAGGAAAATGTAAAATATATTTTATTCAAAGTACTGTCCATCACTACTTAGCCACTACTTTTTCCCATCTTTCTGGTAGCATACGGATTCCGCGTCGAAAGAACTCCTCGTCTTTTGAGGCTATCCATCCATCGACCCAATTTTTGACTTCTTCGAAAGAACGGAAGTGCTGCTCAGCCAGGCCATGCGTCATCGATCGAAACAGGTGGGCTATATGGGCTTTGTACATTATTCAAAAGGGTAGGAAACGGTGTCGGTTTTCTCCCATTTGGATTTTAATTTAATGTTTGTTTTATAAGCACAGGTTATAATGATATGACCGGTTCACCTTTCTCTTTTACATTAAACGAAACCAAAAAAGGTGTGTTTTGAATGTACTGCGGAAGAAGCTGAATGTGTTCAAATTAGGTGCGAATTTTTTTTCTCCTCATTTGTGCAGCAAAAAAACGGTGTAACATTTACGCTTCGTAAAATCAGTTGAAAGACTTTTATGAGAGCTTTTTGTTTTGGCCAATGGGCTCCAAGTCCATTGTGATTCGTATTTAAACGATTTGCAACATTTGAAAAGAATGTCGATTTAATTACTGTTTGAATTTGCGTCACTGAAATGTTTGACAAAAAGATGATTGAATTAAAAAGCGGATTGTGACGACCACAAACATATTTCAACATTCTCATAAAGACGTCTCTTCAGTCAACCGTTAAAAGTTAAGGTTTCATGAAAAATGGTTCAGTTGGCGAAAGGTTTTTTTTGTCCGATAAATATGTGAACTTTGATGCGTCAATGGTATGAAAATTTAATTTGATTTTTTCCACATCACACGTATTTGCTACAAAATTCAGTCACACGTGAAAAAGTGATTTAATTTCACGAGAAATTCGGTAGAATATTCAGATTATTTGATTAAGGTCACCCATTCAAAAAACACAAATATTCATGCTTCCAATGAACAATCAACAATTATCTTATAATACTTAAGCAATTGTTTTTGTTTTGTTTCTTTCGACAACACACACTTACAGTTACGTGGTGAAAAATTTAAAGCTGTCATCGATCGAATTAAAATTGACGCTTGTTTTTCTATACTTCGACATAAATACATTGTTTGAATAGACAATGTTTTCAATGTGTGAAACGGGGGCGGAAGAAAACAAAAATTCGATATGCCAAATTGAATTTTCATTCAATATTTTTGAGGATCAATTATATCATTTTCCAATAAAGATTATTATAAATAAATTAGAGAATTTTTCAATCTTTTTTCCCTCTCAATAATGATCAACGCACATTGAATTTCATCCGATTAATTTTATGTGACACAAATGTTATTAAATTAAAAGTGCTTACCTTTCTGCCAATTTTTTTGCTGCTGCTATGAAAGTTAACTTAATATTATTTCGTTTGGTGTTTGATGAGTCGTTTATCGAGTTTGACTCCTTTTTGGATCACACGCAATAAATGTCACTTTCAAAATATGTACCAAACGTTTTGAAACGAAAATTTGCTCACAAGAAATCAAATGGAAAAGTTAAGTAATCAAACGGAAAATAATACGTTTGAAAAGAAAAAATCTCAATTTCGATTAACTTTTTGTTTTCGTTCTTAAATTGTATTTGTTTATACAAGTCACTAGTTCTAATGAAATTTGGTATGAATTTGAATTCACGTGCGAAATTCGGTAAATTCAAACAAAAAAAACGAGGACGAACAATTTAGAGTTGTTGGTTTTTTCAAGGCGCTGTTGATATACTGAATGCTGAACATCAGTCGCTCGAAAAGCTTGCCGCTCACGCAATAGCCTTTTTCATCCACGCTCACCCACATGCGGTGTGTGTTACACGTTTAAGGGGAAAATGCTTTCACTTGCGTTTTTTTTGTTATCATTTTTGTAGTCTGCACCGAACATACCAAACAGAAATGTTAAACGTTAAGCTCTCGGTTTCATGGTGTATCGCGACGAAATCGGAGATTTACAAACTCTTAACGATTGAATCAACAGATGCCTTTTGCACATGAACACGGTCGGACGCACGAATCGTTACGCTCTTCAGGATACCTAATGTTATACAATATGATTATTATTTGAATATTTGACGACACGTCATTTTGCGAGACGTATGTTCAGTTTGAATGCGAAAATTCAGTGAGTTTTAATTAAATTGAAACTAGCTAATAGTCATCGATATTTATTTATTAAAATGTTTACATTGATTCATTATAATACATTTCTTGTCCCACCGCTTTTTTCGGTATATTTAGTTTCTCAAGCGCACATTCTCAATAAATAAATAAATAAATAAATAAATAATAAATAATTTTTGCTTTCAAACTTGACTATAATTGCTCTTAAACAAAATTCTTACATATTAAATGACAAATCGATTTGGTCTTAGTTCATGTTCGTAGATATTATCTGGAATAACATTATGAAATTTTGACTCTGATGTTTCACGGTCCCAATCACTGCCGCCATACTTCTTCAACGGAACATGAACAATTTCAACTTTTGAATCATTGTTTTGGTGGCTGTTTGATAAAAAAAATTTCAATCCAAGTATGAGCGAGGCCAACAATGACATTTTACTAAACACAAATGCGGCACTCGACAATATAGTGACGACCTTGACGAACATCGGAAACATTATCATTTTCGTGATGAACAAACCAATTATGACCGGATACAACCATTTGTACTTCTTCTTTTTTCCGCCGCCAAACTTTGGAAACTTTCCCCCGACATACTTCTTCCGACCTGTATTAATAAACACATGTTGATTTTTTTTTTGTAAACGAAAAAAAAAGTATTTAATATATGAATTTTGTAACACACGGTGTACTTAATAACTGAAATCATCACAATCTGTTCATGAAAAGAGAAAACGGTAATCCAATGTTTACACCATATGCTGTAATGTTTCGGAAAATTTCCGAAAGAAAAATGTAAATTCGCATCGTTTTTTTGATATGTCATTAAACTCGAACGGCTCAATCAACGTTTTGTGCGCTTGATATTGATGACAACACATGAAAAATGAGCCAATTTGAATGAATCGCCACCTGACTTTGTCAATGATGTCTAGAAGATAGACCGATGGAATTTAATCTATACTTCACATATTCCGACATTTTCAACGTCAGACTTATATAGTCAATTCGAAGGCGACCCTGAACCAATTGAGCGAAAATGAAATCGAACAAAAAACACACACACACACATTTGCACAAACATCACGACCGAGAGATGCAGAAAAAGAGACATAAAAGGAGATAAGCTGGTTCACCTGTTTCCACCTCAGTTAATGCGTCACCACCCGAATCGCTGCTCGTTCGAAATGTTGAAACATCAATAGCATCGTTTGGTTTTGGCATTTTCATACCATTGTCAAATGCAGTCACATTTATCGCTGATGTTCGAATGTGATTACCGACCTCATTGACTTTGTTATTATTGTTGTTACTATCGAAATAAGCGGTTCGTCTGTCGTCTGTTTGTGATTTAACTTCATTTATCATTGACACACTATTGTCCACCACATAACAGTCAACATATTTTGTAAAAATCGAAATTGTCAATAGCAAATAAAGTGGCGAGAACATGGTATTTTTTTATTTTTTTATTTCACAAACGACCAAATTTGTGTGCATGCAGCACAGGCACGAACCGAAAACCAAATTCTATTGAATTTAATCAGTTTTATTATTTTATTTATGACCGTTGTTAATTCGAGAGTAATCCGATTCTATGGTTATCGCCAATCGAGATGGCACACACTCTTTGATAAATAAATAAAAAAAAGTTTCTTCTTTTTTCCTAATAATAAATTTATTAACAACGAACGGAATCACACACAAAATCGAAATTCATTCGATTAATTCACGAAGAGTTGATTTGAATGACACAAAGACTCCAAACTGAATGACAATGGAATACATAGATCAATGGCTTATATATCAGCTACTGGAGAGGAAAATGTGGGTGAAATGAGCGCATATATTGCAAAGAAAATTCAAAATGCATATCTAGAGTAATCAACGCTTCACTTGTGCCAATGAAAAATAACAAACGAACGCACAACGTATACCACAATTTCTTTGATGTGAATGGATACACTTACAATGGGACTAACATTTTCGCTACTTTCTTCCCCATTCGTTTGATAATGTGATATTTCTCTATTATTTTTCTCTTTTTTTTTTTTGTTTCTCTTTGTCAAATCGTTTTTGGATCACTAAGCAAACTAATTGATTGTCTTCTCCATCATAATTCCTATTTTTTTTTTCTGTTCGTTTGCTCGAATATTCTTGTGATTGCACATTTTTAGTTCAATTGATATACAAATACAATGGGCACATACAGTTATGAATTGATCGTGGTACGCATCGGGTTTCATTTGCTGCCGACACGAATGTCAACTACACATCGTTTCTATTTCGATGTTTTTTTTAATTAATTGCTTCGTTGCAGACCATAAGTTATTGTAACTGAACAACAACAACAATTCTTTTGAAAAATGATATTTTTGTTCTGTTTTATTCGCCATTGATCTGTGTGATTCAATACGAATTTTGTGCGACTCACGCTGCATTTCGAAGCCATTGTGTCTTTTTCTAACGGCAAAATCATGCATTTCTTTGCAAATTTTCTTTTATTGATTTCATCGAAGTCGTCGTCGTCTTTGTCGTCATCGTCATGTTATTCTACATTTCTCTTTTTGTAAATAGTGTGACGTCTATTTCAATTTCATTACTTTCGCCATATATTTGCAAGTGGTTTTTTCATTATACTAATTTTTGTGTGTGTGTTCACGGTGTTCACAAACTATAATCTCGGTTTTTGAATTAACTTCACCGATGTTCTCTTGCCTGTAATTTGTGGTAACTTGTTGAACATTATGATTTATAATATTACACACTTAATATGCTTCATTTAAAATAAATGGACGACATACGCCGCACCCCATTGTTTGACATCGCTTACATTAAAGTTTCTCGATTTTCATTATATGGAAGTTGAATGATGATGGTTTTCTTACCACCCACCATCAAACTTAAACATATTAATGGACGGAAAACGATGTAAATAGTTTATTGTTTGTGTTGATGCCAACAACGGCTGAATCTCAATGAGCAAACAAAGTATCGTCTTCATCTTATTCAAGCGAGTATATTCAACAAAGATTGAGCAGGTAAAGCCAAGAAGCATCAACATACGATTTGTGCTCAGCATTGTACTTGTTACGTCGTGCATGAATACAAATTGTAGTGCTTCTTTATTTCAGAGAGAACTTCATTTATTTTGTGAACATTAGGATGTTGATGAAAATCATTTGGCTCAATAGCGATATAGTCAATGCTTTTAATGTTGTCAAATATGAACAGGCAACATCAGCAATGCTATTGTTTTTGTCAGTTTTTCTAGGCATTTCTGTTGCAAACAGCAGAAACAAGCCAAATGATACAAATATGGTGATGAAGCGAATTTTCTTTTCAGATGCAATTTTGCACAAGAATCAAGAAAAGTCGGAAAATAGCAGATTCATTTGGTTGCTTTGCAATTCGAAAACAGAAGATTCATTAATGGCCACTGAATGAACAACGCACATCTCAGGTCCGTGTCCGTGATGAATGGTGGAGGTATGTTGAAGTGCAAAACAAACTCTCTTTTCAAGACAAAAGTTTCAAGTGTCGTATGACAAGTGTATGCTAGGATGCTGATGTTCACTTCCCCAATGGGAGACTGAAGCATGAAAACAAATAGTTTGAGCACCCCTCTCCCAAGCAGAAATTTGTTACCTCCTTCCCCCAACCAGAACATATTGCGGTTCTGATGTACCATGTGAATGACTTGTTTTCAAATACTTTTCCAAAAACCAAGAAGTGGAATCATTCCATCGAATGATAATAATAACAATAATCGATATGAAACTCTTACGCGGAGAAATTCTACCGCATAGCGTTAAACTTTGAGTCAGCTTTTTTGTTATTTATTATTCAAGCAGATCATTTATCTTTTTAATAAATTATATAAAATAATATTTAGGTACACAAAAATTATTTTTCTTTAAATCTACTTCTTAAATATGATGGAAAGGCATGGAAACTTGTCGACTTGAAATGTGTGTGTGTGGGGATAAAGTGTCCTAATTTCCTTTCGTTGAATATGATTTCTTCGTGTATGCTTTGTTGAAAAATCCGTAAAACATGTAGAATATCAAAACCACATTTGGCACGTATATCGCCATCAATAGCTTTGGCACTTCACAGCCGCGTACCAATGCGAGCGCGCATTGTATGAGGATAATTGTAAATTGAATCTATCACAATTGAAAGAGAGAGAGAGAGAGAGAGAGAGAGAGAGAGAGAGAGAGAGAATTAAATTGAACCGAACCAAAAATGATGAAAAAAGTACAAACCATTTGAATGAGTGTAATGTTTTTCTTTATGCCTTCCAATTTTCGTTGAACTTCCGGTCCAAACAAAGCGGCGAAATAATAACTATACATGATAACATGCACCTAAAAAGAAACAAAGAACTTATCATCATAAGCCGAAAACAAAATGAAAATCATAATTTACCGATGAATTGATGACCACACTGAATAAGACCATGCCACCTGTGCAAAAAGGAAATAAAAAAAAAACGAATGAATGCCATTGACATAATGCAAATAGCATATCTTTTGCATTGTATTATCATTTCATTTTCATAATAAGAAACCGACCTGCTGTGTATTTGACGAGAATCCATGCTAATGTTGCTGTGCTGACATGATGATATACCTAATAATATATAAATAATTTATATCGGATTTACCAACAAATATGTATTTGTTTTTTTTAAAATGATTTACATGCAATTTTGAGACTTGATTTTGTTTCTTTCGCAATACAAAGAATACAGTTTCCACAAGTTCGGCCAATTTTAGCAAGAATGTTTGGTATGTATATGTCAGCGCTGTGGTTGCTTTCAGACTGTTTTTATAGTCGACACTTTGACATTTCCAGAATTTTATGACATTAAATTCATTGGATACTAGGCCGATTATTATATAACAACAAACCGCAACTTGAGCCAAGTTATAGCAAGCCAATAGCCATTTCAGGTTGTATGCCTTTCGATTTTCCATGTAACTGTAATGATGAACAAAAAGGAGAAGAAGAAAAAAAAGGAACAGAATTACAAAGTCATTCGCTGAGGAAACAATAATCATATGACCTCTAGAAATGACCTAAAAATGAATATGTGGAATGTCGAATTTCGGAATTCCGAGCGGGCCATTTATATTATTCCCACTTGGAAACAAATATTGATCAAGATGACAGTTAACTATTTCAATGCACGCAAATTTCCGATCGAATACAAATGAATTTAATCGAAATGAAAGAATGCCTTTTCAAAGGCAGACAAAAAATTATTCGCTATTTTTTTTTGTCTTTCAATGTGCCGGTTTCTATTTTTAGACATAATATAATCGAAATCGACATCAAATTTTAATAGATATCGCAAAACAAATTAATGCCCTTTTCCCGGTCACTTTTTTTTCTTCGTATCAACTTGAAATATATAGTGCATTGGCATTATACGATTAATTATTGGTCACATTAACCATGACTACGTTCCCATTGAACCAAATGCATAAATCAATTTAAATCAGCCAATCGTATGAAGTTCATTACTTGTGTCCGAATACATTTTCAACGGCCCAAGTTCGGAAATAGTCAGTCATTTTATTTTTGTTCGTTTTGATACGATATGGTTTGACTAATTTATTTTATACATTCAAAACATGACAAAGAATACAAAAGTAAGAAATAATTAATCTTTTTTTTTGTCGTAATTTGTATACAATAGCAACTCATTTAAATATATTACCAATATAGACGAAGTTAAATGTTTGTATGCAGTGGTCACACAATTTCAAAAGTTCATCCGTTCACCGAAAAAAAAATCAATAGTGATGAGCTGACCCAACGGAAAACGTAACTGTTTCGTACACATTTCACTCATGTTGTTGATATTATGATTAATTTGTAATTTGACTGTTAAATCGATTTAATTGACCATTTATTTGATTGTTTGCATATAATTTTTTTTTCGCCAGGGTTTCGAAGACCAATTGACAAACTCATCGAGAAAAATGCTCATTCAGAACAATCGTACCCTTGTCTCTTGTCAAAAAACATATTCAAAACAAAAATCAACCTCATACCAGACTGACTCCATTTTAAAATAACATGCAAGCTATTCCATAATATGCAGTAACGATGTATGCTTATAATGTGAATCTCACATTTGCTTGAAAAAGTTTTGAAAAACGTGCCTCAATTCATTTTTGATATACCACCCATACAAAAAAAACTTCATTTGTTGCCACACGATGAATGGCTTCGTATTCGTATTTGCAGTTCTTTATCAAAATTATAAATTCTCCATTAACGACACCCTAGAGGGGTCTTGGCCTGAACCACTAATTTTGAGATTTTTTTTTTTGAAGTGAAAACTTATTTCAAGTCTTCGATTTTCCTGGGATTTGTTCATGATTTATATTTTCCATGATCTAGATCTCTGAATTGTATTTGCTTAAATGAATTCTTCAGAAAAGGAAGGAATGTCCCAAAAAAATGTATATGAGGATGCCCTTAATGAATTTATTGGATTAATTTTGTAGGAAAACTGCACGTTGGGCAGGAGAAGAAGATATTTTATATTTATATATTTTGAATTTTCTTTATTGAGATACGTCATCATTTTTAGTACTTATTTTCCTATCGTATTGAGAATCAAACGTAATGCCTCGTGCATTCATGCCAATTGCATTGCATGTTAAATGTCACAAGTTCACCGTTCAAATGAACCTATTATCCGAAATAATGTTATGTGGTTGAGTGTATCCACACCGTGATGCATAAATGAATTAATAATAAACGAATAAAACCATCACACTCTTCCATGGCTAAATTTAACGAAATGAAAATACATTGTAACTTACGCCGGTCCAAATCTGTATATAATTAATAAGTATGTTGTTAAAATGGCAATCAAAGGTAACGGACTACTCATCAGCGGCCAATTGGTGACCCGTGAATCTGTTTTATTTTTTGTAAAAGTATTTATCCTTTGTTTTAAATAAATCCTGTTACATACTTCAATGCTACTATAAATGTGTGTATATAAAAAATGGACATTAATCACCTCCGTTCCATAAAAAATCATAGTTAACGCCACTCATAGTTTGCTGCTCCATTTTTCAAACTAGTTGAACACAGTATTTTCACGAAAAAAAAAAATGAAAGAAAAATAAACAAAATACGTAGTCGTAAGGAATATGTGTCAAGAAAATGAGGAAAAATTGTTCGATATGAAAACGATTTCAGTGTTGGTTTTGGTTGTCGAAGAGAATCACATACTCCAACTGTAAAATGATAACTGAAATATTTAAACGGCTTTAATACATTTCCTAAACACTTTCCTTTTTGTTTTGTGGAAACTTATCGCACCAATTCTCTTGACACCCAATCACAAACTACCGAGTATTGTTCTTGAAACGGCGATATTTAATTTATTTTTAATTTACCGCTGCCCCTTCGACGTGTGTAGTTTGCATTTGTTGAATGTAATTTGCGGTGTATACAATGAATTTTCGAATGATTACAAAGTACACACATTTGTATGTATTTTATGGAAAATAAAAAAATACGAATCACATGATAATTGAGTGATACTCGTACTGTGTGTGTGTGTTTTGCAGTTGACGTTTGATAAGCTTTGGATTAGGCAATTTGAATTTGAAAATCAGTTTTATATTCGGACGAACTTTGGAAAAAAAAGGTCTAGCTCAAGCGAGCGCAACGCACTCAAAAATTGTGCACATATTGCCACACATGACATTCAATGCATTCGCGATATGAATTAATATTTTGAATTCGATTATTTTCGCAATGAAATTACCACACAAATAAATTGGAATGAATAAAATTTGTTATTTGAAACCAGAAATTGGTAACTTTATACCACCAACGCCCAGAGTGCATACATTTTTGATCACCAGTATTTTTGATTAATCACATTTGGCATCAATGTTGATATGATTATCGATTGCCGTAACTAAAAAGTGATAATTCCATTCGAGTTCTGTGGAACAAAAAATGTCACCCATCACAATTAGAATCGATACTTATCTATTTCAATGATTGAATTTATATTTAAAACGTTTGAAAAATAATTTATATATAAATATCGGATTAATTAAATATGCACGAAGTCAATTATTGGTAAAAAAAATCACGCAACATAAATTAGTATAATGCTATTTTATTATCATGCAATGTTCAACCAATGGTTCGTATCTTGGATAATCCATCTAACGCTGGTTTTTCGAATTAATATCTGGAATAAAGTACACAGACGAAAGCATTGAAACCTTCACAATTCACCCATATGTGGCGCTAGTTATGGTTATATTTTCAATTTAAACTTCGAAATCTGTTGGATTTTTTGTACAGAAAAATACTGTCCAACTTGCGCAGGAGTTGCAGCTGAATAAACAGAAGCAAGAAAGCGGATTTCAATCGAATCTTTGTGGAGATTATCGAATTAATTTATAACGAATTGCTTGCCTGTTTGTTTCGAGATTTACCTGAAAATGAATCGAATTTGTTTCCCAAAGAAAACGAAAACCAGTAGAATCTTATCTCAATGGAATCTTTATTTCAATTTTATTTACACTTTATTTTCTACCTAGTTTAAGACTTTGATTGGCGCCCGGAAAATAATGGCTAGCTAATGAAGGTTTTTTTATTTGCAAAATTTTCATATATTATATTATTATTATAATTGAAAAATAAAAATCAAATTTTTTATGGGCTTTGTTTTAGTTTGCATTTGGTTTTTACTGCACCTTGAAGATGACGAAGAATGCGGAATGAATTTTTATCTCTTTTAATTTCTAAAACATTTATTACGTCGATTTGTTTGTTTAAATGATTTTGAAAATTCCAAAATTCACGTAAATTGGGTCGTATTGTAAGAAATTTCCATGCCGTTGGTACGACGTGCGAACAGTCGAACTTTTGTAACATTGTACACTGTACAGACTTTGTGCAATCCAAAGATAAATAAACAAATTGTTTTAACTACGATGTATTCATTGTAGGTTTGCCGTTTGAATGTGTTTTTGTTGGATTTAAGGAATGTGAATGAGATACACACACACGCACACTATTTGTTCAAATAAAAAAAGCAAAACAAAAGAAAGAGCAAGTGATTAAAAAGCGAGGAAAAAAACATAGTATGTATTGCTAGATGCTCGGTAATAACTGCGTATTAAAAAAAGCGAAAATCATTCATTAATGATAAGTGGTGTGCTCAAAGAAAGATACCAATACGCACAGTAACCATATCGATTAACTCGATTAATTTTATTGGTGAAAATACACAAAAATGAAATAGAAAAAGAAAATGCATTTCATTTTGAAATTGTTTGGTTTTTCATTTGTTGTGTGTAGTATCATTTCTTTTTCTCTCTTTCCTCCATTCAAGTGTTTTCAGCCAAACGGTATTGGCTTAAAATTCCAATTTGTATGATAGTTTGTACGATTCTCATCATATATATATTTTTTTTCGTTTTGTTTTTGCTACATGCTCATTTCTCTCAAGTACGTGTGTTTTCATTTAATTTACATCTATGGGTGAGTTTAGGGAATGAGGAGATGTATGCGCAAGCGAAAAGATAAATAAAAACGGAAAACGCGTTCACTTTCTAACCAAACAACAACAACAAAAAATTGTATATGAATCCGACACGCACAAAAAGTCTATTGATTATTGTGATTATTATTGTTATTATGCAGACTTGAATTTATTTGGAAGTAAATGAAAAATGAAAATATGCACTCGTTAAAAATGTTTTACATTAAATAAACATTGATCGAAATGGGAATAAGTGATCGATTACTTTTGGCTAACTTGACCCAATTTTAAAGACGTGCTCGCGACATTTTTCTTTTTACTCAACAATTTATTTGGGGTCAATGTAAAACATTTCTCGTATGATTGCGATTGAATATGACGATTTTTTCAGCGAAAATCAACTCGAATGTAGAGAGAAAAAAAATCACGGTTCTGGCGAAATAACTCTAGCAAAAGAGTTATTTTTATAGAAAAAAAGAAGCGAAAAATCGAACAAATAATGACGAAGCGTGACAATATGTCATTGTAATTCAATTGACTCAGGCAGTATTAGAAACTATTGTGTATTTATTTCATGTCAACTTTCGTTGAACATTCACACCAATGAAGAGAAACAGAAATTTGGGCTTCCAGCCGATACATTGTATAAATACACATAAATTTGACTCGAATCAATTACGGACGCATCACAAGCTAAACGAAGTGCAAAATAAGGAGAAGAAGAAAACTATGAAGATGTGTAACAGATAATGATTTCAAAAGTTATTGAAGCTGAGAACCAGACACACTTAACGGAAAAAGTATACACACACCTAACACAGCTGAACAAGCAATTTAATTTTGTTGATGTGCGAAAAATAAGAATAAAATAAACTCAAAAATAAACACCGAAGATCGTACATCAAATATTTATAGAAAATGAATTCCGAAAAAAATTGGTCGATTAAATATCTAAACTTTTTTTATATGCTATTTTATGCACGCAAAAATCAAGTAAGATGGAATTTCGAAAATCTACACAGCCATGATTAGCACGCATATGTTCAATGAAATCGATGAAATATCGATTTTTATTGATATCGAACTCATTTCATATAAGATAAATGAACTTTGTTCATATCCGGTGTAAAATACGTAGAATGATTCATCGACAAGTAGCAATTATACTCGCATAAATTATGTTATTAATAGTCGATTGAAATTGAGCGCAATATATTCATTTTCCTAGTAGTTTTTGATTTGCACAATGGTAAATCAATAAACTGATTGAAAATGCATTTAAATCGGCACCTTTCATTATATTCGGACCAATAATCGGGTGTATCCGTCCGAATTACGTTTTTTTTTATTCAAATGTCATAATCAATCAAACGGCACGTACAAATAATGATATAATTAAGATTAATATTCCGTGTTTGTATGAGACATCGCCAAATCACATTCAGAGTTATGGCATACAAAGTATGAAAATGACAAGAGAGTAAGAGAAGAAAAAAAATGATTGTTGAAGACAATGCAGAGAAATGTGAGCGCTTGGATTATTTCATTCACTATAATATGGAGTCTTAAGAGGTTAGTTGAATGAATAATAACATTGACGTCCGTTCGGTTTTAAGTAATAGCTGTGTACGCAGCATCATGTATCATGCAGAAAAAGCGATAATGTCATTCGCCTTTAATTCCAATAGCTCACGCATTGGCTTTCTTTTGAATGTTGTGGCACTTTTTTCTTCACTTCGTCTCATTTTGGGATTTTTTTTTATTTCAGAAATAAAATCTCTTTTGTTTGCGTACGTATGTTGGGCATTTGTGTAATCATTACTTTTGCTTTCAATTGAACTTTACATTAAAATATGTATATGTATTTCTTTCATTGGGTTTGTTACTTTCTTCATGTAAATCATTCAGCGCGTCCAAAGTAGTGAATTTCTCGGCGCTTGTTGTTTTTTTTCTTCTTCTTTCTTTCTCTGCTATGTGAAGTTCATCGAAGTGCTTTATATTTCGATAGACATACTCGCAATTCACGTACACTTCATACAAATGCGTGCTCAATAAACGCACAAAATATAACAAATGGCCAACAATAACATACAATAAAAAAAAATTCGATTAATTTATTTTTTATTTTTTTTTATTTCTCTCTTCATTTTGTGCCCTTTATCTGCCTAAGCATTCCACAGTAAAACTCAAAACTTACCTCACCAAAATCAGTAACAAGCTGAATGATGGCTATGCATTTAAATGGTGCCGACCAAAAAAACATACAGAACTCGCGCGAAAAATTACACGCATATTAACGCGTTTGCCCATTTCATTTGATCGATCATTCGCTCTCTTTTTCTCTCTAACATTCAACGGAGCTCAATCACGTTTAACAGGCAACACTTATGAATTGCACCGTAAAATTACATGTTTTTTTGTTATTTTCTATTGTAGATGTGTTATTTGAATCGAATCAATCATAGCGCCTGACGTTTTGTACAAAAGTGTACCCAAGATCTGGTCATTTTTTTATCTTTATCACTTACACTTTCGTCTTTGGTCGATGATCTGAATTTAAACAATGTCCGAATAGATGTAATTGAATTTGATAAGCGTCTAATATCGGAATCGCCAAATCACGCGGAATCAACAGCGATTTAACTGCATTTTAACATGAAACCATCATTTTTGGTTTGAGGTGAAAAATCGATAAAAAAAATGGTTTATGAGAGCTTACAAAGGAGGGACCATTGAAAAAAATCATCGCATTTTTGCGGCCAAAATTCCATTGTGATACCAAACGTGTCAATGACTTGCAATAACAAAAACATAATTTCAATTTATTTGT